TGGGAAATAATTATTTAATACATCGGCATTTTCCAAATGTTGTGTGGGTAGGTCTGGTTCTGTTTCTGGTATGTATTCGAATGTTGTAATAATATCAGTTCCATTATATACTACAATAGAATTTTTAGTTATAATTAAACTATTGTTTGTGACAAGGAGGTCCTGATTCTATAGTACAAGAAAATTATTTAAAGCATCTATAGTCTGGGGTTGTAATTGTTGTAGGGTGGGAATTTCCATTTTCAAGATATTGGGTGAAAAATTACTAAATTGGGGAATGGAAATTTTGATGCAAGGGGTATCTATTTATAAAGTTTTATAGTAATACGAATATAATTAAAGGATTTTCAAAATGTTTGCTTGTGTATCCTATATGGAGTGTCTTTGTCTACTATAATTGTCAAACAAGTTCTTGTTCAACCATGTGCTCTGGATCTTCAATTCTAAAAATAAAAATTTCTACAATGTTCTATTAATTAAAAATTCTTTGTCTGTCCGTCCTCTTAAAAAGTGAAGTCTCTGAACTTCATGTGCTAATTTGTTCGAAATTAGCATCTAATTGTCTATAGATTTCCTATTTTAACAATCACATTATCAGTTGCGATTGTGTTTCTGCATGTATCGTATGATCTTTCATTTCAGCTAATTGTGTTTTTCTGTTATTTAGTCCTTGATTTTTGGCATTCGTCGTATCCAAAAATCTTCTATTCACAACTTTCTGGTTCTTATCTTTTCTTTTTCTTTTCCTTTTTCTTGTTCTAAACTTTTTCTAATATCTTCGTCTTTTTTCCTTGTAGTTTTTCAAAAAACTTTTATCTTTGTCTTGTCTTTTTTTTCTCGTTTATCTTGTCGTCATTCAAAGGTGTGTATACTTGTTCTGGCTGTGTGCTAAGTCTCGTCTAATTTAGATGTATGGGGCTTGGCCAGTCTTCTACTTAGGTGCGCTATGTAGTTGGCCCTAGTAGATATTTTTCTCTTTGTTTTTCCTCTTTTTCGTTTCGATACCTGTGGTCTCTTGTGCAGGTAGAATAAGAACTTATGTCCATTGGTATTGCAAGTAATAGACCTTGCTTGTTGTATTCTTGGGATAGGGGTCTTTCCAATTGTTTCTTTTATCGTTTCCAAGTTTATATGCTTAGGAATAAGTCGTTTCTAATTAAGTTTTGCTTTGTAGATGCCTCGTTGGGGTTAAGGAAGTTCGGTTCCAGATCGTTTGTTGGTGCTCCAAAATCAAGTTATAAGTTTGGAGGCAGAAGCGGCTGAAAGAAATCCTTCGGTCTTAGAAGCGGCAAGAGAAAGTTTCATATGAGAAACTCGGCTTCAGAATCTTAGAACGGAGAAAGATAGGCTACGTATTTAGGTAGCAAATTTGGAGGATGAGGTGCAAGAATTAAGAAG